TGATCCCCTAACCTGTGTTTAGAATATTTAGAATGGCCTTTTTTAGAAATACGTGCGACTTGTTTGCACATCAAAAATTCAACTTAAAGTTTATGGCCCTTGAACTTAAAGATGATCACGAAGTTGAGGCAGAATGGAGACCCTGGATAAAGGATTTAATAGCTGAAAATATCTTTCAGAGAGAAAGTACGCTATTTTATCACCATAACCAGTTTGAACATGTGAAAGCTATTGAAAATAAAAATGCCTATATCGCCACTTTAAAGGGTCTCAAAAAAACCGTGTTCCTCAAACCCATCTACATGACCAGCGATTTTACCATACGGGACATGATTAATAATGTGAGTTTACGAATCGTTCATTTCCTACTCGAGAATGATGAGTTGCTGTAACGAAGAGACGTTGACGATGGCAATTCTTATATCTCAAAAGATTAAGAAACACAAAAAATTGGAAATTCATGATGGCATCCTGGAATTTTATGGTATTACTATGCAAGGTAAGGTCGCACTCTCCCTAAATCGATATCTTGTTGTTGTGGCTGACTCTTTTCCGTGCCTTCCTAGAAAATACCAAAATACCTCTGCAAGTCTTTGAATATGCCAATGGTGGAACACTTTGCGAATATTTAACTATGAAATCAAAAAAATTGAGCTGGAACATTAAACTGTATCTTGCGAAACAGATCGCGGGAGTGCTAATGTGTTTGCATTTGAATGGAATTGCGCATGGAAGATTGGTAATTAGAGATCCGAGATTTGGAATTCTCCTCCTTACTGTTAACCGAATTTGGCTATGATGATAACAAACATTTTTCTCCTTAGAGCGCAAAAAGCATTCTTGTTCACAATGGAATCATTAAACTGAGTGATTTTGAAAGGAGCGCTCAAATCTGTGAACCATTCAACATATTACCAAAAACATTTGATTCAAACAGAAATATGGAACCTCACTTTTCGGAAATTCTTAAGATCATCGGTTGCAAGAGAAGTTCGGACATTTACAATCTAGGAATTGTTTTTTTAGAGATTTCGATTTCTCCTTTGGGGATTGAAAAGTTGATGGAATGTAGTTTTTCAGATCTGAATGGGAAAGAAATAAAGAAACGTTTTACATCCATGATACCCCGCAAATATGCAAAGATTTGTGCAGGTAAAATATTGCGAACCAATTGATTCAGCTCAAATGTTTTACACGTATGCTCAACTAATCAGAAACTTCAATACCGAATGATAAGATTGCTGGAATCACGATGAAAATCGACGACCCAATATCGTTCAAATTTTTAATGAACTTGATGGGGTAGATTTTTCTGACATGTTAAATGAATTAGAAATTCCAATTTTGCGTTACAACATTGAGGATATGTAAGCCCTACCTTCGTCTGGCTGCATCTTCATTTTATTTTCTGGTCTTCTATTAAGACAAGAATGTATTTCCTTTTCCTTTTTTAGAGAGTACAACGAAATAATCAAAATCAACACAACTCGCATTGACCCTCCAACGGAAAAAGATAAGTTAATAATGGATTTATTTCATTTTTTTTCAGATACGTACGAAAAGCAGCACAAATATATCTCCCCGATATTGGTCCGAAAGTATGTCAGCGATCTTCCGCAAAATCCTACCAAAATGTTGTATCTTTTAATCAGTCACCGGCATCGAACACATTTCACAAGCATGATCGGATTTTTTCATGAACATGGGATCGGCACGATTGTGGACTATCAGATAGCATTTGAATATTATTCCAAGGCCGCCAATGTAATAACTGATGGAAAGGAGGTCTCCGTTTTTACAGAGTTATCTGAGAGTAACAGGGCAATTGGGAAAATTTGCCTTGCAAATTTTTATCTGGAAGGTAAAGGTGTAGCACAGGATGAGAAAAAAGCCTTCCAGATCATGCTAAAATTCTCTGAGGAAGGATCAATCAGAGCATTAAATTTTATTGGTGTTTGCTATGCAAACGGTTACGGTGTAGAAAAAAATGAGACAAAACCATTTGAACTATATTTAAAATCTGCTGAAAAGGGAAACCTCATTGCACAATGTAACTTGGGATATTGTTATCAAGAAGGCGAAGGGACAAGCGAAGATAAAGTTAAAGCTTTCCAATGGCGTTTGAATTCTGCTTTGGCCGGAAATATTGTTGCAAAATATTTTGTCGGTGACGCTTTTTTTTATGGAACTGGAATTGAGAAGGATGAGCGGATTGCATTTGAATGGTATTTGAAATCCGCCGAAGGTGGCTACGACGGCGCGCAATGTGATCTTGGGTTTTGCTACGGGACTGGTTCGGGTATACTTCGGAATGATAGAAAGGCATTTGAGTGGTACCTCCAGGGTGCCAAAAATGATAATATAATTAGTCAGCGAGCAGTTGGTGCACGATACTTACGAGGAAATGGCATCGAAAAAGATGTTGTCGAAGGCATTCGTTGGTTGACTTTGGCCAAGAATAAAGGAAACGAGGAGGCCGCACACTTACTGACGGATTTTCTTGATGATCTGCTTTAAATGC